TAAACTCTTAGGCATTCTCTGAAAATAAAATCGCGAGTGCGAATGGCAGAAGCTCAAGCAAAATCGCCTTGTGGCCTCTACTATTGAATCAAGACACAAAAAAAGCTACCTTCATCTGGATGAGTTTTGGAATTTTGTGCTCCAACAAGCGCTGAAGACAAAGAAGAAGCAGCCCAGAAGGACACAGTTTTGTTTTGGACATCCCAAGATAGCAGAGTTCACCAGAGTTGTGAACCATCTCTGATCACTACACACATAACCAGAAATGGGAGTCTGTCTTTCGGCATAAGAAGAAAGCAACGAAGACTGAAAATTTAACCCCTTTTTTTTTAATCGGAAAAGGGAAACAACTTTATTTTGTATTCATTCAGATAAATGCAAAATTCCTGTGTGAGACAGACAGCTAACGAGACAATGAAGCATTGCTATATGTAATTGTAAAAGAAATAGCAAGCAGGTTTGGGAAGATAAAAAGAAAATAAAACATTACCGTGTAGAAAGATAAAATTGTAGAGACGAGAGGAGAGGTTCTGCAACATGAAATGAAAATGAGAAGATATAATCGAAGTCTGAGTCTGAACTGGTCATTCATGCATGAGGAAAGTGGCGGAGTTGATGATGGTGGAGGTGCGAACGTCCGTATTTTTCTTCTTCGATTTTCATAGAGTATATTATAAACCAACTGAATTAAAAGGACGGTTTTGAATTTGTGCAATTTGGATTCTTGATTTTTATGGGAATTAAAACTAATAAAAACTTTTAATTTAATAATAAAGATAGAAACTCAAAAATCTCGTGACATAACATGACCACCTTTTATAATAAAAATCGATCCTTATATTGATATATTGTTTCAAGTCTTTGTAGTCTGTAACCAAAAAATAAAAAAAAATTATATTGAAAAATTGTTGACGATGATGATGGCCATAACTAGAGTTTTCACATCCCATCACAAATGATTCATCCAATTTTAATTCTTGAGATTCTAAAATTTTGAAAGGCAGCTTTCAGGTTCTCTTAATTGGCTTGGTGATTGACTTCGTGTGGGCTTGTTAAGTTCTAGCTATCAAAGTACGTAGGGACAAGAAGAGGGTGAGGGACAATTACCGTCTAATTCCTGCGGAGTCACTCTCAGTATTTGTGGATTAGACTTTTAGTTGGGTTTGCCATGTTGTGCGATCTGCAAAACATGAGATTTGAAAATTCTAATTGATGATATTTTTCTCAACCAACAATGAAAATATGAGAAGGTCCATGTGAATCGTTCAGAACGTCCAATTCCCCTACCCAACACATGAACGTGAGCATGATTAGCTATTACATAAGCTAATAATAGTAAAAGCTAGGCCTGGGCTCACTCTATGTAATCCATTATTGATTATTCCACCACCCAACTAGCTTTTCTTCGGCCCGGCTTGCGCTGGAGCCTGGAGGAATTTTCCTGGCCCACCTACCTTGATCACTTCACTCGTCTTCGGTTGGAGGCCCAGTTACCTTTCAACAGAAAGCCCGGGAAAAAGACACATCATCCACGCCACACCCCTCTCTCTCTCAATTTCAGCCCGTTAAAATTGGATGTTCATTTTTTCGAAAAAGGCACCCAGCCAACCCAAGTCGGTTTAGAATTGGATGCTACTTTTCAAAAAATTAGTTTAAACCC